TGGCAGTCCTAGTACATTGATGCACTTTCTAAGCTTTAGGTTCAGGTGGAGTATTCAGATGGAGCTGTCTGGGACGCACATGAAAATGTGGGACTGGGATGCAGAGGAGGGTCAGGATTTAAAACAGAACCAGGGTTGGTAACCTGAACGTGGACATGGAAGAGAGAACCAAAGAGCAGCCAAGAGAGGAGCTCTGAGGACAGGGTATGGAGAGGAAGGAGAGGCAGAGAAGCAGGCAGAGGGCCCTGTGGGAAGGGCAGGAAGAGAGCAAGTGAGGGAGGAATTCCTGAGGCGGCAGAGGTCAAGCAGTCACACTGGGAGAAGGGGCTGATTTAGCATATGTGTTATGGATGGCCTTTTCAAGAGCTCGTTTAAAAAAGTGCAGGGGTTAGAAACTACCAGACCAAGGCTTCAGGAGTGAGTGCATTGTGAGTAAGGAGAGACTGGCAAGGAGAGATCATCCTTTCAGGGATTTCAGGATCAGGAGAGAAATAGGACCTTTAACTTAAGGTGTATAGTAGGGAAGAGGGATTTCATTAGGCTGTAGAGAATTGAATATATTTGTGGGAAAAGGTGAGGAGAGCAGAAAATGACAGATGTAAGCTCTTGGGGTGGGAGGGGGGTGGCTAAGGATCACCCAAGGCCCACCCATGCCAACACACAGATATGTTATACCCTACCCAGAATTTAGCCAATGCTTTGCCTCCACTGGGGTCTCAGCTCTCCTCTGTCTACTTCTGGGGCCTTGAGCCATCGTATAGGGGATGGGCTCTTGAATTAGAGTGGAAATGAGAGCAGCACAGATTACAATGTGGCCCCTGATGTGACGAGGGGGCAGTTGGAACCATTGGGTCTCTTCAGTGAAAGTGCAGGGGGCAGCTGGCAAGGGGGATGGCACAGGAGTCAGAGGACTGTCTCACAGCAGTGGGACCTGGTCTACATCACATGGGATGACTGGATTCAGCAGGCGTGTCTGTGGAAGGATGAGCCTGGCAGGCTCTTGGGAGGCAGGGCAGGTCAGTACTTCTCTCAGCCCCCAGCTCTGTCCCTGGCTGGTCAGTGCCCTTTGTAAGGAACATCTGGTAATGCAAAACAGCTCTGTGTTCTCTGCATCTGATGGCTCTTTCCCACTCGCTCCTTATTTGCCCTGGGGTTCCAGAGTGAGGCTAGCTTTTTGTTTCCATTTCTTCTTTCTCAATGGGAGACTCATGCCTAAGTATGAATGACAGATAAGCATTTAGCAAATACAGTGCCATCCTTGGGAAATCAAGTTATTCTGGGATTACAGGACAGATTTGTATATGAGGGAGGGATCCACATGTCCAGAGGCCCTCACAGCCCTCTCGACATATAAAGTTGACTTAAAATGAATGGGCATATGGATGGCGTACATTGAGAAAAACAGACAGAAAGCACATTTTCCATCCTGGGGCCACACCACATGGTGCTCCAAGAGGCATTACACCCGCTGCAGTTGCTTCATGGCCTCCTCTCTGGAAGAGCAATGCTAGGGCAGGGGAAGGGTGGCAGCACTGGCTAAATTCTGGGTAGGGTGTTAAGGTACCTGGGCAAGCAGATGGCAGGTCTAGAATAATTACTGTGAAAGAAGTAGGATTTTGGAGAAAGCCTGGGCCTCTTCCCTCTGCACCCGTAACTACTTCCTGTCCTCTTTCCTCCCAATCCTCCCAAATTATATACTTCATCATGAGACTTTTTTCTATATTTCGTTCACCATTTGTTAAGTATCAGTGCCCATGGTCAATAGATGAGGGAGCATACCAACCAGATGGGCCAGAGACAGACAGGTAGTAAATGGTAGAAGCAGGGCTTGAAGGGCCCATGACTCCAAATGAAGTGCTCTTCACCTGACACCCTCTGTAGCTTCCCCTTTCTATGTGGAGCTTGGCTCCCAGTTGGGCCAGGGCAGTATAATGACATCTTCAGAACTTCAACATTCAGGAACTTTACGTAAGACTTGGGTGGAATGAGCAAGTCATTCTGAGTCTTTGGCCCAAAGTACTGGGTTATAGTGTCTGGGATGTCACCCATCTCTCAGCAGGCTTTGTCTACTGTACACAATATTGTTGGAATGGGCAAGGAGCCGACCATCTGTTGGGCCTCCAGGGATAACTCTCAGATCCAAACTGGCCTCGGAAGGAAACCTCCACCACCTGGGTGAGAAAGGCCATCTACTGAAGCTGTGGTGCAGGGATCAGGAGGATGCCACCATCACTGCTGCCACCCCCACTGCTACACTGCCTTACGACACCCATGAACAGACACTGAAATGCTGTTGCAATAGGGAAGCTACTGCCCACCCCAACAGCCTATGAACCTTGTGTCTATGTGTCTATCCAAGTATCTATGACCTTGCTACGCAACAGAACATCAACGCAGCAAGAAGGTGGCCTCTATCTCCCTTCCACCTACCAGAGCTGCCTAATTCATCTAATTGGCAGAATATAATTCACTCTAGACTCCTAGCTGCAAAAGAGTCAGACAATTGTAGTTTTAAATTTTCTAGCAACTGCAGTACAAAGAGGAGTTTAAGATGGATGCTGAGTGCCAGACCACTATACCTACTATATATGGTGAGAAAAAAATACTGCTTATTAAATATTTCAAAGATGTTTTAAATGGTTCTGGATTAACACTTATTTAATAAAATTAAAGAAACTATGTCTCTGAAGATTATGGGCATGTTCGTATTTGCCAAGAGTCCTCTTAACCATCCCAAGGTTGACTTCTCTCTACCAGTATCACCATGGCAAAGTTCAGAGGGTTTCTCATCCATTGGGAGATTATTCCTAAAAAGAATGATTCATTTTCATGCTTTTCATTTTTTAAATTATGAAAGTAATACAAGTATTATTTAAGTATGAAAAGTATAGTAGAAATAGTTATCTGTAATCCTACATCACTATCACTGCAACCACTTCACTTCTTCGATGTACATATTTACATTTTGTAGGTGTAACATTTGTAAAACCTTTTGTTTTTTTTCACCTAACATGCACCAGTAACATTTCCCATGCTGCATAATGTAACCACAATTTTTAATGGCCCTATAGCATTTCACTAACACATGTGTCATAATTTACTTAGTAATTCCTCTCTAGTTGAATGTTTCGGTCATTTCCAATTATTTATGACTACAAATAATGCTTTGAAAGAACAACTGCATGCATTTTCAGACTTTTGTGCCACATTTCCAGAAGTGGGATAATAGGTTAATATGCGCTGGTTAAGGGGTATTAAATGAGTATCAACAGCTCTTGATCAACGTTTCTTAAAAATCACCTTTGGCAAAAGCAGGGAAATTCTTCTTTCCAAATAGTAAACACAGAGCTTGTTTTTATCACATCCTTAGCACTCATTTTGGGAGCCACTATTGGCAGCTACCAAAAATGGGGCAATGGGCACCCTTGGCCTTAAAGCCTCTATTAACAATACTCACATCACTGTATCTCAAATCCCTGAGAGCTGCCAGGGTTGTTGTAACTTGAACCTTGGGACCAGGGTGAGGGCAAAGTGTGGGCACAGCATCTTCAGGGTCTCCTCCCTTTCCTATCTCAGGGCCCAGCTTTCGTGACCAGGAGCTACCTCTGGATAAGGTATCTGGTGTGGTAGAAACTGATCAGCTAGAACCAAACCTTCAGCCCCTAACAAGTACATTTAGACTTGCAAATATCATGCTTCCATGGTGACTTCCATAAACAGGTCACTCTCCTACTTTCTGATTCTTTCCCCTTCCCACAGATGGAGCAAGACAGTACTATTTAGGTTAAAATAAAGCCAGCTTGGGCTGGGTTTAAGAGCTAGGAGACCAGAGTCTTAGAAGACAGGCAAGATGTTACTCTCAGCCACGTTGCATCCCTATTACAGGATCAAGCCTCTAAAGACCTTCCAGGCATATCAGCCCGGAGGAAAATGGGCTGGAAGTGCCTGCTCAGAAGGGACCCATCTTGGTCACTACTTACTGTCTTGGTCAGTCCAGGGCAGGGTGCATTTAGCCTCTCTGTGGGAATAAGGGGAGGAATGACTTTAGCTCTCTATTATGATGTGTTTGCAGTGAGAGGAAAAATTTCAAATAAATGGGTATTCTCCCCTACCAAGCAGCCTATCACAGGGCCTTGCGTTTTAACTCTGTCCCCTCTGGTATATGCCCTCGAGTTGCACAAAAAGAGGAGCATCCCTGCTATGGCGCGGCGTATTATCAATTCTAGAACCCCACTTCCACGTGCGAACCCTCTCCCCATGCAGCCACCATAACTGCTCCATAAATGACACTGGCAGGGACTCCCTCCACCTCAAGGCCTTAGGAATGCCAAAGCTTGCCGAGCGATACTGTTTGCAGAACCCTGGGCTCAGGGGCCAGTTCCCCCTGAGCCCCTGTCCCTGCGCCCTGCAGCCCCAGGCACAGCCCCTGCAGGCCCACCCTCTCCAGGGACCGCCCCCACCGCCCGCCGGGAGCGAGGCGGCACCACCCTCGAGGGGGTACAACTTCCCGGGACTCCCAGACATCTCCTCTCGCCCCCCTCCGGTTGCTTGGAAATTTGCGCTGGGCAGTGACGTCACACAGG